AATGCAAAGTTGTGAACTTTTAATGCAGGCTTTTTCAAAAAGCTTCACATTGGCCATTTTCCTTTACATTCTTGGACTTAGAATATTTCATGAAGCCAAAGTGTGAACTTTTTATGCAGGCATTTTCAAAAAGCTTTACATTGGCGAAATTCCATTACATTCTTGGACTTACAGGTAGATTATTTTACGACCTTACGAGGTGAAATTTTACAACATGCAATTTTAAAAAGCTTAACATTGGCCATATTCCTTTACATTCTTGGACTTCGGTTATTTTACGATCTATTAGAAGTGAAATTTTATGGCATGCATTTTCAAAAAGCTTTACATTGGCCATTTCCCTTTACATTCTTGGACTTAGAATATTTTACGATATATACTTGATAACTTTTAAGGCATGTATTTTCAAAAAGCTTTACATTGGCCATATTCCTTTACATTCTTGGACTTAGAATATTTCACGAAACAAAGTTGTGAACTCTTAATGCAGGCATTTTCAAAAAGCTTTACATTGGCGAAATTCCATTACATTCTTGGACTTAGATTATTTTGCAATTGAAAGTTGTGAACTTTTATAGCATGCATTTTCAAAAAGCTTTACATTGGCCATATTCCTTTACATTCTTGGACTTCGGTTATTTTACGATCTATTAGAAGTGAAATTTTATGGCATGCATTTTCAAAAAGCTTTACATTGGCCATTTTCCTTTACATTCTTGGACTTAGAATATTTTACGATATATACTTGATAACTTTTAAGGCATGTATTTTCAAAAAGCTTTACATTGGCCATATTCCTTTACATTCTTGGACTTAGAATATTTCACGAAACAAAGTTGTGAACTCTTAATGCAGGCATTTTCAAAAAGCTTTACATTGGCGAAATTCCATTACATTCTTGGACTTAGATTATTTTGCAATTGAAAGTTGTGAACTTTTATAGCATGCATTTTCAAAAAGCTTTACATTGGCCATATTCCTTTACATTCTTGGACTTATATTATTTTACGATCTATAGAAGTGAAATTTTATGGCATGCATTTTGAAAAAGCTTTACATTGGCCATTTTCCTTTACATTCTTGGACTTAGATTATTTTACGATCTATAGAAGTGAAATTTTATGGCATGCATTTTCAAAAAGCTTTACATTGGCAAAATACCATTACATTCTTGGACTTAGAATATTTCACGAAGCAAAGTTGTGAACTTTTTATGCAGGCATTTTCAAAAAGCTTTACATTGGCAAAATTCCATTACATTCTTGGACTTAGATTATTTTGTGATTGAAAGTTGTGAACTTAATAGCATGCATTTTCAAAAAGCTTTACATTGGCCATATTCCTTTACATTCTTGGACTTAGATTATTTTACGATCTATAGAAGTGAAATTTTACAGCATGCATTTTCAAAAAGCTTTACATTGGCCATATTCCTTTACATTCTTGGACTTAGATTATTTTACGATCTATAGAAGTGAAATTTTACAGCATGCATTTTTAAAAAGCTTTACATTGGCCATATTCCTTTACATTCTTGGACTTAGATTATTTTACGATGTAAACCTCGACTTATGTTCTTTTACATGTACCTACATGTATGTGTACTTCTGAGTAATTTGAAATTAACAATCAAATCAACAAATATTCACATATCATATTAGCAGATGTCAGGCGAAATTACAATAAGATATTCTGATCGATAGAGTATTTGGTTATAAAACCGGAAGTGTTTTCTCTGAGGTCGGCGCGTCAAATTCAATACATGTATTCTACTTTGGATATAAGTATTGGCCGGTGCATCCTCTCGATTAATATCTATCATTGGGTGCTTTCAACACCATATTTTTCTAATGTTATCGCAAAATAGTCCATAAAATGAAGGAAATGTTTCAAAGTTAAGAATTTTGATCGGCATTTACCAAAAGAGCTTCTGCGCATGAGTTCTGCGCATGTCAAAAGCCCATCAAACTTTCTCATTTCTTTTAACATTTCTTGCCTTTTACACGACTTTCCCACCTGGAATCATGATCTATCATCAAATTGAAAATATAAGGTACAACTTTAGATCGATTTTCAACCATCTCTTGTGAAAGTATTTAAGATGATCGGGGAAAACAATCCCGTCTATTTGAGGGGCTCTGTTGGGAATTTCTTCAATCACTATCTGTACTATTGTCTATGCAAGTTCATTTCTTTATATTAGCGATCTTTACTGTATTCTCTCCAATGACATATGGTTTTTACAATTCTACATGTACTGTACGTCGTGAAAGAACAGAATCCAAGAAATACCAAATAATCTATAAGTTAAAATAAGTAAAGGAAAGGGGACACTGTAAAGCGTGGAAATACATGTACAGCTTTCTATGAGAGTTCACAACTAAATCATAAAATGAGCTAAGTCCAGGAATGTAAAGGAATTTGGCCAATGTAAAGTTTTTTGAAAATACATAACATAATAGTTTACAACTTTAAATCTTGAAATAATCTAAGTCCAAAAATGTAATGGAATATGGCCAATGTAAAGCTTTTTGAAAATGGATGCCATAAAATTTCACTTCTATAGATCGTAAAATATTCCAAGTCCAAGAATGTAAAGGAATATGGCCAATGTAAAGCTTTTTGAAAATGCCTGCTATAAAAGTTCACAAGTTTACATCGTAAAATAATCTAAGTCCAAGAATGTAATGGAATATGGCCAATGTAAAGCTTTTTGAAAATGCATGCTATAAAAGTTCACAAATTTCAATCGCAAAATAATCTAAGTCTAAGAATGTAATGGAATTTCGCCAATGTAAAGCTTATTGAAAATGCCTGCATAAAAAGTTCACTACTTTGCTTCATGAAATATTCTAAGTCCAAGAATGTAAAGGAATATGGTCAATGTAAAGCTTTTTGAAAATACATGCCTTGAAAGTTATCAAGTATATATCGTAAAATAATGTAAGTCCAAGAATGTAAAGAAATATCGCCAATGTAAAGGTTTCTGAAAATGCATGCTATAAAAGTTCACAACTTTCAATCGGAAAATATTCTAAGTCCAAGAATGTAAAGGAAAATGGCCAATGTAAAGCTTTTTGAAAATGCATGCCATAAAATTTCACTTCTATAGATCTTAAAATAATCTAAGTCCAAGAATGTAAAGGAATATGGCCAATGTAAAGCTTTTTAAAAATGCATGCTGTAAAATTTCACAGCTTTCAGTCGCAAAATAATCTAAGTCCAAGAAAGTAATGGAATTTCGCCAATGTAAAGCTTTTTGAAAATGCCTGCAAAAAAAGTTCACAACTTTGCTTCGTGAAATATTCTAAGTCCAAGAATGTAAAGGAATATGGCCAATGTAAAGCTTTTTGAAAATACATGCCTTAAAAGTTATCAAGTATATATCGTAAAATATTCTAAGTCCAAGAATGTAAAGGAAAATGGCCAATGTAAAGCTTTTTGAAAATGCATGCCATAAAATTTCACTTCTATAGATCGTAAAATAATCTAAGTCCAAGAATGTAAAGGAATATGGCCAATGTAAAGCTTTTTGAAATTGCTATAAAAGTTCACAACTTTCAATCGCAAAATAATCTAAGTCCAAGAATGTAATGGAATTTCGCCCATGTAAAGCTTTTTGAAAATGCCTGCATAAAAAGTTCACACTTTGCTTCGTGAAATATTCTAAGTCCAAGAATGTAAAGGAATATGGCCAATGTAAAGCTTTTTGAAAATGCCTGCATAAAAAGTTCATGACTTTGGTTCGTGAAATATTCTAAGTCCAAGAATGTAAAGGAAAATGGCCAATGTAAAGCTTTTTGAAAATACATGCCTTAAAAGTTATCATGTACATTTATAAATCGTAAAATAATCTAAGTCCAATAATGTAAAGGAAAATGGCCAATGTAAAGCTTTTTGAAAATGAAAAAATTTCACTTCTATAGATCGTAAAATAATCTAAGTCCAAGAATGTAAAGGAATATGGCCAATGTAAAGCTTTTTGAAAATGCATGCTATAAAAGTTCACAACTTTCAATCGCAAAATAATCTAAGTCCAAGAATGTAATGGAATTTCACCCATGTAAAGCTTTTTGAAAATGCCTGCATAAAAAGTTCACACTTTGCTTCGTGAAATATTCTAAGTCCAAGAATGTAAAGGAATATGGCCAATGTAAAGCTTTTTGAAAATGCCTGCATAAAAAGTTCATGACTTTGGTTCGTGAAATATTCTAAGTCCAAGAATGTAAAGGAAAATGGCCAATGTAAAGCTTTTTGAAAATACATGCCTTAAAAGTTTTCATGTACATTTATAAATCGTAAAATAATCTAAGTCCAATAATGTAAAGGAAAATGGCCAATGTAAAGCTTTTTGAAAATGAATGCCATAAAATTTCACTTCTATAGATCGTAAAATAATCTAAGTCCGAGAATGTAAAGAAATATGGCCAATGTAAAGCTTTTTAAAAATGCATGCTGTAAAATTTCACTTCTATAGATCGTAAAATAATCTAAGTCCAAGAATGTAAAGGAATATGGCCAATGTAAAGCTTTTTGAAAATCCATGCTGTAAAATTTCACTTCTATAGATCGTAAAATAATCTAAGTCCAAGAATGTAAAGGAATATGGCCAATGTAAAGCTTTTTGAAAATCCATGCCATAAAAGTTCACAACTTTCAATCGCAAAATAATCTAAGTCCAAGAATGTAATGGAATTTCGCCAATGTAAAGCTTTTTGAAAATACATGCCTTAAAAGTTTAAAAGTTCATTAAGTGGGATGTTTTTAAATTTCTCAACTCGTCATTGTAAAGAAAAAAAGCTTTACTTCAAAATGACATAAATTTTTGTCCCTAAATCTTGACACTGATGCAACCATAACCTCTAACCAATCATAGACCTGTGTCTCATTTTTGTGTTAATGCCTTTATGTAGATATTTACTCCATGTTTATATTCAAACATTTTCTCTACATCTTTGGCCGACTAGACATAGAATATTTCAAAACATTATTTTTCTTACCATCTCACAATAGCATCTTGTATGCTGTTGGTTAGAGCATGTCCAAGATGTAAACTTCCTGTTATGTTTGGAGGAGGGAGGCACATGACGAACTTTGCATTCTCATCATTTATCTACAAAACCAATATTAAAGTTTGTTGTTCTGGTAAAAAACAATTAAGAATTTCTTATTATGAAAAATTGATTTAACATGTGGATAAAGCAGACACTATCAGATTAATTCCTCTGAATGCTAATATTGGAGATGGAGATGAAGTAGATGGATAAAAGTATCCTCGATTATAAATTATCATAAATTGTGAACAAGATCTAAAGTGACTGATCCTATACTAAACAGGTTTAATACTGTTAAGTGTTATGATTGGTTGATACAGTGAATGGAATATCAGATCCTAAAAACAGCATGTAATAATTATAAATACTAAATACTAAATGTATGAAGCAAAATCATTTATACAAAAAACTGTGACATCTAGGAGGTTGAGATACATGTATTGCTGTATATTCCTTTAGTAAGTAATTACCTGAGGTTTTGGCTTGAAGTAGCCTTGACTCTCCCACCATTCGTACCAACCAGACTCAACTTGTTTAGGATCTGGGGTTTGAGACAGTGGTTTGGATGTATCTGAAATATAAGCATCATTCACATTACGATCACTAATTACAATGTACAACACCTCTCTTAGGCTCATGTGAGCCAGATAGCCTATACAATCATGTTATCTAATTATCTGAAGAGACTTTCTCTCTTTAATAACTATACAGTATGTACTATATTTACCTTTCTTTTCCACGTACAATGGTGAAGATGCTGAGATGAACCGCTGTGCGCTAACAAGTAAATCCTGAAATGTAAATACAATTTTTCAAAATAATTTTTGTGACAATTTGAACTGGGAAATGCTATTTTCTAGATAAGATTGTCATTCTGATTCAAGGAAAACTGACATACAGTTAGATCAGACAACCACAGGTCCGCGAAGCATTGACACGGTTTTACTGTAAACATGCGGTTTTATCTAACCTCAGCTGCAGTAAGAATCTTAAATCGTAGATTCAAAAATGTTTCGAAAAATAAATTGCAAGTCTGATTGGTGGTATTTGTCAACAAGAGCATAAATTTTAAGAAAATAGGTATGGTGAAGAAGATATTTGCCGAACTACTTACTAATAGCTCGGGAAAGGTAAAATGACTCCCAAATTTCCTCTATGGTCTTTATTGCCGCTTAATAGTTTTAATACACATACTTAATTATGAACAACAGAGATGACAAACAACCGGCATGTGCCATAGGTATATCTTAGATGATCTGTGAAGGTGAACTGCCGAAACATTTGCCATTTGAATTTCAAAGTGTGCAAACTGCAAACAGGCTCCGACCCTGGCTCTCATTGGTTATATTTTGTCATAATGTAGCTAATTATTTGTAGCAACAATAGGAGATAGTTGCATTAACTCATGAGTCTGGATGCAGTTTACACAGACCATGGGCTTTTCTCTTGAAAGCTTGAGCATTTTTTCACATGCTATCTATTGCAAGACTTACGCCTGCCACAACCGTCGCCATGTTAATCAGTGTTTTTTAAGTAGCGCAAGGATCCTGCCATGACCGTGGTAGTGTTATCGTGTAAGCCTGGCATAACCGTGGCAGGCTGGTATAACCGTGACAATGCTGTATGATATTGCAAGGCCTGTCATGACCCTGGAAGTGTTATCGTGGAAGCCTGGCGTGACCGTAGCCTTTATTGTGGTTTATAAGCGAATGTGAATATTAATGTATAGTAGTAATTTTTATTTTGACATGATTAAGGTAGTTAAACACCATGATCATATAGTATTAAACTGTTTAATTGGAATGACGATCACTTAAAATTGCTAAGGATATTCCTGGCATTAATGTCATACATATTTACTAATCATTGCAATACATTATAACGGTCATAGTAGGACTAAGCCTAAATTTCTACATTACCACCATCATACCTGGCCTTGCAATACTATATTACATTGTCATGGTCATACCAGGCTTTGTGATCCCATTATACATCGTCACATTCATGCCAGGTTTTGAAATACACATTGTCACGGTCACTTATAGCACGGACCTGAAGTGTTCACTGTGATAGATATTAAAGTCCGTGCTTATAGCAATCATATATTTCTACATTACCACTCTCATACCCGAACTTGCAATACTATATTACATTGTCTCGGTCATGTCAGGCCTTGCATAATTATATAACATTGTCACTGTCATGCCAGGCCTTGCAGTTCTACAGTATATTACATTGCCACAGTCATGCCAGGCCTTGCAGTACTATATTACATTGTCACGGTCATGCCAAGCCTTGCAGAACTATATTACATTGTCACGGTCATGGCAGGCATTGCAATATAATACAGCATTGTCGCGGTTATACCAGGCTTTCACGGTAACATTGCCACGGTCATGACAGGATCCTTGCGCTACTTAAAAACACTGAATAACATGGCGACGGTTACACCAGGCGTTAGTCTTGCAACAGATAGGGTCTCCATTTTTTTAAAAGTTTGAAAAAGTTACCGCAGAAAGAAGTTAGCATTATGGCGATCCGTGTTAGGAACAAATCAATAAATGCTACTAAAAAGCTAAAACATATAACTCACCGTCTCCTGGTTACCAAATGATCCCCTAAATATTGTAGATTTGTACGTTTTAAGGCCAAAAAGGCGATAAAATATTTTGCTTTTGCTCCATGACATATTGACTTCCGGTTAACACTGAACGAAAAATAATTTGAGATAGTAAGCTTCCCCGGGATTTCATTTGACAAATAAAAATGAGATACAATCCTCTGACCATAGGGGTCCAACATCCAGAATGTATTCTTTCCCGAACGAGTTCTATAGCCTTCGGAGGATGCTGAGATACAATTAGCTATCTAAATCTTGTTGGTTGTACGTAAAGGTGCAACAAGTAGTGGAGAGGTGCCATTCAACGATCCTGGACCAGTGTCAAAATACGGGCTTTCAATCTTTCGAATGCCCATGTATTTACTAAGTTTGGATATTTCACCAAGACTAACATATATTTTTATTATCTCAAAAAACCTAAATGAACATTATTTCAGCTAATATTCCGGCCTTTAAACATGGTGGATCCTAGAAATCTATAAGTGGGACTCCCTTTATAGAAGCTTTGAACTGAATTTACACTTCTTAGTGCTGAAATTGATAGTTTATCCATACATTTTAAGAAAATAGACATGTCAAAGATTTTAAGCAAAATGTTGCCCCGATAGCTCAGAAAAAGTAAAAAATTCCAATTATCTCTCTACAGGCTAATGTTTCCCCTTTAAAACACGAACATAGGGATTGGGATGGGTGATCTACTTCAGTCAGATTTAAATTAACATTTTTTTCCCCCATATCCGTTCACAGAAGCATTTAAAAATATGGAGCCTTAGGAGGCATCAGTGAGTAGTAGAGGACAGTTATAAAAAACAACCCCAATGTTCTGTTTAAGAACCCATATTCTTACTATTGAAAATGGATTCTAGCAACTAGAACTCAAGTAGATAGAATCTCAACAGGTAGATTCACGTTGGGGAGTATTGCTAGAATCCATTTTCAATATTATGAATACGGTAGGTGTTCTTGAACAGGACATTAAAGCTTAACTAAGGCCATTTTTGAAATTTTTGGTAAGCACTGAGTGATCTCGATTGACCTTCAATATACAAACATGTACCATGGTTTATACAGATGTAGGGAACCCAACCTAAGACCCAATAAGAAATTGTGGATGTGACAGCTTCTATTCTTGTCCTCATAGTTATATCAAACTAACAAACAATTTATTTCATTATAATATGATAAATATTTGTATTGTAATATAAATAATGTATACAATCTCACTGATATATGACTATTCATTTCCAATGGTTGGAATGCTAATGAGTTATAATATTTGTTGTTAACAAGTAGAAAGGAATCATATCAAATATATATTTATCGCTACAAAATCCTGAAATGCCCTTTTATGGGCATGATCTAAAATATGCATATTTTATCCTGCAAGTATCACAGCTTATTCTTGGACAGATCAAAATATCAGCAAAAAGCAAAGCACAAGGTTAATTTCATTTGGTGACAGTAACAAAGGCTATCTAATAACCAGTTTTGTTCGTTTGGTAACATCACCGGGGTAACAAATCAAAATCTTTCTGAAGACTCCATGGTAGCAATTGCTTTCTTGATTTTTTGATTTCAAATCAACCTCTACAAAAATTATTATTGAATGTTTTTTTTTTTATTTTAGGAGGAATGGTTGGAGGTAAACAAAATTAGCTCTGTGGTTTGGCTTGCATCAATGTTTCGCTGTCTCCTTGTGTAACATACATGTATTTAACAAAATGGACGGAATGTTGTGCATGTATAAAGCACATATCAATTGATTTATAAATAAGTTAAGAGTCGTTGTTATTGAAAGACATAATCATTGTACTATTACATCACATGGTATGTTATATCATTGTACATTGTTAAAATGTTCATTGTAATGAACACACATTATATAATATTTAAATATTATATGTAGCAAATAAATATTTTTACAAATGTAAATGTTAATTGTTAAGTGTATATTATTCAATAAGCTAGTCTAAAAATTACAAACAGAATCACTAACTTTATTTGACTTACATATAATGAGTGGGGGTTAAATAAAAGCATTGGTTTTACATAGTGAGAGACAAAATAATAAATCTGTAAAAAGATATTGAACTACAACTGTTCCAAGCCTTTAGCTTTTTCACATCATAACGCCTGAATTGATCAAATTTTCACACATTTTGAATAAATAATTAAATATTCATTAGCCTACATTCTTAATATCTGAACAAAAACATAAATATAAGTTTGCATGCACCACTTGATTTTAAATATCAGAGCAATTATTTATGCAAACTTTGATATCAGTCAACATACATCAATTATAAATATTTTGATACATAATTCATATTATGTATTTTTATATAGCAGTCATGAAATTTTTAAATATGTAAACAAGACAGTCAGATGCAAAACGTCTCCCCCTGCCATTTGTTACAAATGCTGAACACCAACAGCCAAATGCCTAACACCAACCACAAACCATCCATAAAAAGTTGGAGACTATAACAATATGTCACCACTTCTGGTGGTGACATAAAAACTATATGAGGTGAAATGCAAAGTCTCTGGACAACTTGTTTCTAAATATGGATATATACAAAAACAGACATTTATAGACCCCAAAAAAAGTCTGGAACATTCATTGTTAACCCAAGTTTCAAAAATACTCAACAATAAATGAAAGATAATTAGATTCCAAACTTATTTGGGGCTTAAACAAAGCTTTAAAATACATAAACTATATTGCACATATTCATGAATTATTCTACCCAGAGAATACATCTTGGTGAATTAAAAATAACTTAATCTCAAGTTAACAGTTTTTGAGTAAGAGTGTTAGTGAAGGACTCAAATTCTTGTTGATAAAACCTGTACCTTTAGTTATCAAGTAATTGTGTTGATACATGTACACATCAAAAATTATACATGTACAGAGAGTAGCCCTCTTGATACTCAGCGTACCCATCGACTAGGCCTATGGATAAATTCAGTTCTAAAGAACACTGAACTGTCTGAACTGTTGGCAATGTTTATGGCATCTGTTAATTGTGGTGTTATCTTCTTGTTTGATCACCTGACACATTCTAGCAGTTTAGAGTGTGTAGAATGACTTCATCTCTGCAAGTGCGATGGAGATTGAATCAATTCCTAGTCTGATAAGGGACCTCTATAGGGACAACCGACGTCTTTAGGCCTTGACTCAAGCAGGAGTTAATAAAATCAATACTCTTGTGTAATGGAGACTCGATCGATTCAATCTGAATAACTGAGGTCCTTAGACCTAGAATTGATCAGGAGTCTATAGAATTAAGGCTCCTGTTTAGACATTGATCCAATTTATAGTCTGACAAGGGGCCTCTTTATGAACAACTAAGGCCTTTGACTAATGATCAAGAGTCTGTAGAACTAGGGCTATTTCCTGCTAGACATTGATCCAATTCATAGTCTGACAAGGGGCCTCTTTATGAACAACTAAGGCCCTTGACTAATGATCAAGAGTCTGTACAACTAGGGCTATTTCCTGCTAGACATTGATCCAATTCATAGTCTGACAAGGGGCCTCTTTATGAACAACTAAGGCCCTTGACTAATGATCAAGAGTCTGTACAACTAGGGCTATTTCCTGCTAGACATTGATCCAATTCATAGTCTGACAAGGAGCCTCTTTATGAACAACTAAGGCCCTTGACTTGATCAAGAGTCTACAGATTCAAGACTACTTCCTCCTAGAGATTTACTCCTAAACCCATTCATTGTACTCATTGTAAGGTGGGGGTTCTCTATGTGAACAGTTGTGAGCACCGAGTCTGTTACATTGGGATCCCAGGTTGATGTTAAACCTGGGCCCAGAGCATTGGACATATGGGAATGTGAGTTGAATGTTGGCTTCAAAGCATTCTGTAAGGCCTGTAAAAAGAAAATAAACAATAAATCATAAAATATATGGTCATTCATCCTCAGAATGAAAATGAAAATTGTTCAACATTTAAAAACGTCTCAGATCTTTTATTTTATTGACTTTAATCTAAAATTGAAAATGAATCATCTCGCGTATAAAACAAAGGATTAACATGACAAAATGTCACCACCTAATTGCTCACAATATTATTAGTTCAATCTTAAGTCAGATTTGAATTTCTGAGATCTTGTAGATGATTTTTAAAAAAAAAATCGGTCAATTTGAAGCAAGTGGAAAAAATACCTTTTTGACCCTAATAAGGTCATTGAAGGTGACATTTCAAATCTAAAGTCAGATTTCAACTTCTGGGAATTTGTAGATGATTTTGAAATAAAATTTGGTCAATTTGAAGCAAGTTGAAAAAATACCTTGTTGACCTTTTTTGACCTTCAAAAGCTCACTGAAGGTCAAATCTTAAATATAAAGTCAGATTTGAACTTCTGAACAGAAAGGGGAAGGTCATTGAAGGTCAAATCTATAGTCAGATTTGAACTTTTGATAACTCCTAGATGATTTTGAAAACAGGACCTTGACCTTGAAAAGGTCAAATCACAAATCTAAAGTCAGATTTGAACTTCTGATAACTTGTAGATGATTTTGAAATAAGATTTGGTCAATTTGAAGTCAGTTGAAAAAAAGACCTTGTTGACCTTTTTTTACCTCTAAAAGGTCAATGAAGGTCAAATCTTAAATATAAAGTCAGATTTGAACTTCTGAACACTTGTAGATGATTTTGAAAAATTTGTTACAGATGCCAACCGCCAACTGCCACCCACTGATCGCCAACCCCCAATCGCCAACCACCAACTGCCGTCACAGAAAACTGAGGACTTTTTTTAATGATTAAGGGTTAATAATTCATTGTACTGTGTCTACCTTAAACTGTGAAGTGGTTACGATTAAATAAACTTCTATTGAGAATATGTGAATATGCCATTTAGTAATTGACACAAAGCATGATTAAAATAGTTTCTAATAACAACTAAAATGTGATCACAGTGAATCTGATATTTTCTAAGATTGACTATATTTAACTAAATATCTTTCCATCATCTCCACTAAACTGCCCATCAGTTATTTGATTTGTAAAAATGATCGATTTATCAGAACTGGCCATGACTGATATCAACAATCAATCAGTATAACAACATTGACTACAAATAACCCCATGCTATATTTTACTAAACAAAACAATACACCCTCCACCAAAAGTCTAGTATGGAAAGAACCAGTGATCTAGTACCATTTTAGTGAAATGAATACTAAAGATATTAAAATACAAATACCTCTTCTTTCTGATTTTCCTGTAAAACGTATAATAAAACAACTCAACAATAAGTTCCTCTGAAAATATACTTTTTAGATTCAACTTTTAGAACACTTTATTTTGAGGAGAACATATAAGAATTTAAATTAATGACTCATTGATAACTTACCTCTTTTTGTTTTTCAAATCGTAATTCTTTAAGATTTTTTTCAATGTTGAGTTTCTGTTTATGAAGGGTGTCAAATTTTGACATGAGTTTTTGATTTTCTTCCTCTAGATAATGTGACCTGTTCTGTAGTAACATAAACTGTCGTTGTCGATCTCTGTAAGCCTCTTCTACCTCAGCATGTCTGCAATATTATACATGTACAATGTAAATAGAAACAAGGCATTAACATGCAAAATGTCACAACCTGTCATTTGTTACAGATGACGAACGTCAAACACCAACCACAAAAAAGTTAGAGATTATAACAATATATCACCACTTGAAACTTTATCAATCACATATATACTGTTCTCATCACATATACACCTGGATAAACATTTTCAAATCATCAATATATTCAAGTAAAATTTTTCTTTCTGTAAAATTTTGGTTAATTTTTTCATTATAAAAATGGAAAACTTCATGTAAATTCAGAATTGATTTTTTAAAAGACAATGCTCATTAAAACTGTTAATAATCATAAATAGACAACTCACTTGGCTAAAAGATCTCGCTTCTCTGTGATAAGTATGCGATAATCATCTTCCATCTTTTCTTTCCATTCATGTTCTTTGTTAAAGCTCCCTTTGGTGGTATACAGTTCCTGCTCCAAGCTGACAATCTTGGCATTCAATTTACTTTTTTCTTTGTTAAACAGTTCCCTGGAACAATAGAAATACAAGATTAGAGATGTGGAAGGGTGATGACGATGATCCTTGGAGGCAGTTCTTAGAGCAACCAAATGACTCATAAATATTTACTGAATAAGATTATCATATAAAGATACGAGGGTTGATCATAAAGTTCTCATAATATCCCTCTAATTTCTATATTTTTCAATATATTCTAATGAAATTTTCACAAAATGTGCAGCATAGAATGTCTTATTGAATCAGATAAAAATATTTAGTTAAACAGAAATATTAAATAAGAAATGGTTGCCATAGTAACGGGAAATCAAGGCACCCGGGGCAAATAAAAGTAATTGAGAGAATGGCTCTAATTAACCATTTTAACACACATAATAAACTCTCATAAATTACCAAACACGTTAAAATGTTAACTTGAATATGTTGTCAAGTGCTTTTACTATTAAAAAAATTGATCATGTTGATTGTGTGGTGTCATAGGGGATGCTTTCATGCTTCATTAGATGTGATACGAGGGTCTGAGACTCAAAGCTAATGATCAGAAATGACTGTGTAAGAGAATGCAATAGATGCAGAGATCTTCAGAAAAATAAAATTCATATTGGTAATATGTTATGTTAAGTGTGTAAGATCCTTTGGTCAGACTAAACATGATCTAAAACAAATATATTGCTAAGGTATTAACAAAATTACACCACGTGTGTGGTCTGTACATGTTAAAAATGAACTAAAGGGGCAAAATCAATTTTCCTCGGGATATTTTACAAAACAGTCATGGGGTCTAACAGTCACTTCTAATGAAGCATAACAATCATCCATTATGAGATCACACAATTCACATGACCATTATAATAGTTCACAACAGTCAAGACCACATATTATTTGACAATTTAATGTGTTTGACAGCTTATTTGACAACTTATTATGTATTTAAACATGGTTAATAGGGGCCATTATAGCTAGTTTTTTTATTTGCCTCGGGTGCCTTGATTTCAAGTTACTATGGCAACCATTTCTTATTTAATGTTTCAGTTATCCTAAATATTTTTTGCTGGATTAATAAAACATTCCATGCTACACATTCTGTGAAAATTTCATAGAAAAATATTGAAAAGTAAAGAAATAAGAGAGATATTATGAGAACTTTATGATCAACCCTCATATGAAAATAGCTCTTTCAAACTTGTTTATCACATTAGAATTGTAACAAAAATATTAATTCTATACTATGAGTTATGGCAAATATATAACATTACATTTAATTGGGATAATTGCTAAAGACACCAACTGCTTAGCAATTTTGGTCTTTAACCAAAATAGACAATGACTATATGTTGAGTCATAAACTACAGTATTTCAATATTTATTCTTTAATTAAACATCAATGAGCTAACGACAATTAATTCATATTTTTAATTGTTTGAGTGATCAATCCAAAACAATTAAGTTGAAAATTGCTTGTATTCTTCTACCTTGCTTTTTGTAGTTGACTTTTATGTTTTTCCTTTCTCATTTCATATCGTTTTAATTGCAATTCATATTTCTCCGTCATTGCTAACAATTCAATTTGTAAAGTTTCTGTCTCTTGTTGGAAATCATGCATCTTCTGTACCAGTGAATGCTTGTTGTTTTCAGCAACCTGATGCTGCAAAATTATACAAGGCATTAACATGCAAAATGTCACTACCTGCCATTTGTTACCACTTGTGGTGGTAACATAACAACAATAAAACATGTTATGTGGAACACCTCTGAGGTACCTCAAAAAGTGCTCCACTTAGGAGGTATTCCACATCAATAGGTTCATTTTACATAGAGATACTGTATAACATGTATTAAATCTGGGTGCTTTATTTTCCGAATTGGATTAAAATTGTTATTGCCGAATAAAAGTTTGCCGACCTGACAGTAAAGCCAACTAAAATATTGCCCACCTGACACCCCTTATATAATTTTGATTTACAACTGATCTACAATTTTAATCACCTCCATTTGATCGACTCAGAAAACCTGACATCCCTAGTGATATAGATTATGAGTGATAGTTTGAGTAATTCCCACATTCGATAGACATAGAATTAATACCGAGATTAAAAACGTTTAATACCGGGTTTAAAACTTTTAATACTGGGATTTCCAAAGCACTCGGATACGATTATATCTTCTGAGATTTTAACTTTTTAATATGACGATCCATTTAATATTTTATATACATGTTACTGCATGCATTTTAACTGCAACATTTTTATTATTAAAAAAGTTTCGAATCTATCGTATTTTATTTGAGTTTTGTTAAAGTATTGTAATTTGATACTCATTAGAAAATTACAATAAGTTGACACTCATTAGACAACTACGATCACTAAGCACCACTAAGATCGATCTTCAATATCTTAATTACATGTATATTTCCGAATTTTATGTTGCCGTTTCTGTTTTACATTCGGCAATCGGCAATTTTATATCCACGGCAATATTTCATGATATACAGTAATTAATATCAATGATAAGTGGACTTTGAAGTGTTCCACTTTTGGAGATGCTACACTTACAGAGGTGTTTCATTATCTCATACTTATTTAGGTGGGCCTAGTGAGACAACTTATGGAGCTACATGCAGAATGTGCCAATTATTTGGCCAGATAATTCACTGCAGTCTGAGCCTACCTTAGGTTCATGACAAAGAAAAGTATTAAAATGAAAGTTGTACTGAACAAATTATTTTATAAACTTCATTTGCACAGTGGAGACCTCGAAAAAAGATAAATTAGAGAAGATAATTCAAAATTGTTGTGGTAGAATATGCAATAAGTTAAACAATCATACTGAAAATTGATAAAATGTGGAATCCACTCATACACTAGGCCTACAAGTAAACACAATGGCTCTTGGGTACTTTTTCAATGATTTTTAAAAATTCATTAAAAACAACCTATACACCTACCTTGTCTTTGATTTGTTTTGTGTCTTCTTTAACAGTAGCTATTTCAGAGTCTTTATCCAGTATATCATGTTGCAGCTTATGCATTTTCTCTTGTAGTTCAGCCTCCTTCTTACGAGAACTCTCCAGCTGAAGCTTCAACTCATCAGAGGTTTGTATCTCCAGTGACCTGAAAATATGTTTATGTAAAGAAAAATATATTTATCCCAATCATTCCATCTCAAATGTCTGAAGAACTTCCCGATCCTGCGATAGTTCATTCAGTGTGTTCAAAATGATGACCAAGAAATGGTTGGAGTTATTGTCTGACTGGCTATAAATTCATAAAAGCAATCCAAAAGATTTCAACTAATGCTTTGACTACTTCTTGGTTGTTTTGAAATATTTTATTGAGAAATAAGACCAAAACTCACCATTTTAAATTCTGAAGTGAAAAATGGTGGCAGTTTAATTGTGAATTTTGGTATCATGGCAGATAAGGTCATGACCTCTATGATATCAGATAATTGAGATGGAACGCTGAGAGGTAATCCTTCTTGGATACATCTCAATATATAATTTGGCCACAACAGGCCAGACATATTGAAAGTAAACTATGTTATAGTGACCTACTTGTTTAACCTCTCTTCATTTAGTTTGTTCTTCAATCTGAGTGACTCATCAACCTTAGCTTGAAGGTCTAATCGTAAGAGAGCCCCATCACGTAGCTGTGCCTCAGCTGTAGTCAGGCGTGACATGGCATCTTCAAGTTCAAACTGAAGTTCAGAAACCTGTAAAAATGAGTCAAAGTCATTCAATGTTGCCCTGAATCATCATCCTCCTAAGCAGGTATCCAGAATCCATACCTCCTTATTCCCCCTGCTAAAACCAACTTGGAAGCACCCGATTAAACTGAATCATGTGATCTAATTATGCGCAATGACTTATACCTGATTTCTGTCGCAGTGTTGCGACAGCCAATCAGATTGCGAGTTATTAATCGGGAAAATGCTAACTGCTTATCGCAGGGGGTAAAAAGAAAGGATATAATCTGGATTTCGAAGCCCTGTTATTGGAGGATGTGAATCATAAGTTCTAACATTTCAGATTGACACCATCCCTCCTCAAAATGACATTGTTTAACCATTTAAAAAATTGGTGTTAGCTAACGAAACATATGAGACTTGTTATACCTAGTCTAAAAAATAATTAAATATCAAAAATAGTTTGTTGGTATACACAATAGAGATTCTGTCTATTAACATTGTCCCTAACTTATGAGCATGACAGAATGTCACCACAAATGACCACTTCTTGGTGGTGACATAAAAAATTGTCCACAAAAAATTGAATCATAAGATTTTATAATCATGCAACATTTTAGTATGAAAAAGTAAAAAATGATCAATTTGATACATTTCGTAGGGGAGGGAGGTGCCATTAGAAACAATAATCCTGTCAATTAATTGGTTTTGAAGTAAAACACTGTCTATAATTTCCAACATTTTTTCAGTATGTATTTTTATTTATCAGATATTTTGAGAGCATGATGATCTTATTGACATTACTTTAGAGTTGAATCTTTACAAACCTAATGATACATTTATCATGCAATGAAATGATACTGAATATGAAAAATCAAAATGAGCTACTGTTTTATATATGTGTTAGTGTTATATGTGTTAGTCCCATACATACAAGAACAATATGTGTTTGTCTAAACCATTAATCCTGTTACATTGTTAGAGGAATATAACTTCTCAATAAATTATTGTTAACATTGGTTCAGAAAGATTAAGAATTAGCAAGCACCCTTTCCCCATCAGTCACCACATAAGCTTGGTGTAATTCTTATCATAAGAAAGCAAACCTAAATGAATCATTTTGAAATTTTAGGAAGAAAGATATTCATTGACAGGTATGATTCTGCAAAATACACAAAATAAATATTGATGATTTGATCCTTCAAAATAGACAATGACAATGTGATCATTTAAGATAAACATTGACCAAGTGATTGTTTTAGACATGATCATGTGATCATTCAAGATAAACACTGATCATGTAACTATTCAAAATAACATTGTGATCATTCAACAAACATTGATCATTCAAGATAAAGCGGGTCTTGTATGAGTACCTAACGATACTGCCCTTTCTTGAGCTCTGATAAAGCTACTCAATAATGGACAATCTTAAATCATGAATGCATCGAAGTTTTTCTCAAATGACTTAAAACCATAAACATGGTCCACACTTAAGATAGTCTGTTGACCATGTGATCCTACAAGATAATAAACTTTGACCATGTGATTATGCAAGATAATAAACATTGATCGTGATCATGCAAGATAATAAACATTGACCATGTGATTATGCAAGATAATAAACATTGATCGTGATCATGCAAGATGATTAACACTGACCACATGACCATGCAAGATAATAAACATTGACCATATGATCATGCAAGATAATAAAACATTGACCATGCAAGATAATAGGTTTTGACCATGTGATCATGCAAGATAATAAACACTGACCATGTGATCATGCAAGATAATAAAACATTGAATTGACCGTGGGATAATACAAAATATGTGGTCCCTCAAGATAAACAATAACTACTTTGTAGATCATGTGATCAGGCAACTTCATACCCCAAATGTTTAGAGTTGTGTGTTCAAATGCTGGACATTTACATACACAGAGGAATTAATAGAACATGTAAAACAACAGTGCAAAATTGTTACCTTATAAGGCAGTCGAATCTAAAGAGAAAGACACAAAAGCATCAAATACAAATTCTAAATTGCATATTGAGTGTTAGGTCCAATTCATTCATAATGCATCATGCATGTTAAGTGACAAATCTATAAAACTGAAAGTAAAAAACATTTAATTCACAGGAAATATTAAACACAGAATTCAAACTAACAAAAGCTTACACTGTTTCATTTAGAAAATCAACTGTAAAAGTGACATAACGCATACTTACTCTTTTCTCTGCTAAATCTGCTCGTCGCTGTATTGCATTAAAGGATGACGTCCTGTCTGGTGACACACCACTATTCTGAAAACATTAAATGAAAATTCAACAAAACAAAGTTAAACTGGGTTGTTTCAAACTGGATTAACGCAAAGTCCCTCTTTTGAAGGAGTTCAAGGCTTACACATATAGGTTTTAGAGATTTAGATAAGCACGACCTACAACTCTTAAGTTTCAATCATTTTTTAGCATCGGTTAATCTATATGCAGGACTAATTTTCCCCTACCAGTGGTGGATTCCCTTAAAATCAAATAGGAATTCAAGACTTACCCTTGCAATATCAGATTGCAGCTGGTTGTTGTCAGTCTCTAAACGGGAGATCTTTTCAAGTAGGTCTTTCATCTGGGCCCACACCTATATACACACAATGCTTATATTATCCCCAGTGGAGTTTCTTGGAGGGTGTTGTTTTCAGGTTATTTAATTATGTAGGGTTATGTAATGTTGTGTAATGTAATGTAATGTTATGTAATGGTATATTTTTATGATGCAATACATTTCTACGACTCCAAACATTCTTGTTTACTTCTTTATATTATTTAATTCTGAGATATGTCAGTATCTTCATTTAAATAATGCCGACATCTGAGCTTGTTTATTTACTTATGCTAATGCACTGATGGCTATGTGACAAATTCATCAGATCACGTGGTCACTCCAGTCTAGCAGTGAGTCTCTTAGCAGCTTACATGAAGCATTAGGGAGTAATATCAAACTGAATCTTTTTATATTGCCCTTAGATCATAAAATACTGTTAGTCAAAATACTGAATTGTTGCACTCATTATCAAAATTTCTATTTTGTACACAATCACAAGAACAACATGAATTGAATAAATTATCTTCATAAACCCATAAAAATTCAAAATTCCCATACCTTACTAAGTTCTTGTTCAAGCAAAATATTTTTCTCTTCATATTCCTTCTTTGTTTGTATCTCATTTTGAAGCTGGACCTGCAGCCTACTGTCAGCCTGCTGGGACTGAGATACCTCCTTTAGTCTACTTAGCTCCTGGAATATAAAGGAGAGTAAAAATAACTGATCAATATATTTAAACAAGGTACAACATTTTAAATACTCATATCTTTTTTCACCACAGCTAGAGTGCTTAAATGCCATTGTGGTATTTTAACAACCACTTACAGCACATTCATTAATATCTCGAATAAAAAGAACTGATTTATGATTTTCTTGAATTTAGATTTGGTTCATGTTTCAAGGATAAATCTGTAGATAAGTCATCCACTAACCATATATCTAAAATTCTATATCCCCTCAAACGCTATACAAGTATATAATAATAACAAAATCAAATTAATATCATAGCATCATGCTATTAAGTCATTAAACATTTACCATTGCTTTCAGATAACCAATTTGTGCAGTGATTTTAGCTGCTTTCACTCCACAATATTAAAATAACAGCATGTTTATTCAATATATGTAATTTATAGCCCGATACCCTTGCGATAATAATTACAGTGCACTGAGTGGCAAAAATCAATCGTGTATCATTAGCACAATCAATATGAACAAATAAAAGTGGTATTTTTTAGAAGTCTCGCAATCTCTGTTGATAACTCTATGCATCCATGGCAAAACGCAAAATATTTGTTGCAAATACGAAGCAGTGGTGGTTAGGTGATCGCCTGATAAACGCTAGAATGTGCAATTGTTATTACAGAATTTATCTTATTCCTTGGCACACTTGCTCCGATCTTCAACACTGGCGCCAGGCCAATGAGTATTTTGTTCAAAACTGAATGCAATTGTGAACAAAATACTCATTGACCAGGCGCCGGTAATGTAAATCGAAACAAATGTAACCATGGCATTAATGATGCTAAAATCAAAAATGTAATCACTCTGTGCATTCTCACACCTAAAAATACCTTCTCTTTAACATTACTAATTTCTTCTTTCAAAAGCTTATTCTGTTCCTTAAGTTTTTCCTTGGTATTTGACATAGCTTGTACAATTTTTGAATGCTCTAGCTTGAAAGCTTCGATCTCTTTTCTACTTTTTCGTTTGATGGATTTTAACTCCTTTTTATGTGTCCTACTCTCCAGCTGCAGTGCTTCCTCTGCCTGACTCTGTATAATAATATGATATCAGCATATTAATAAAGAATACAGTCATTATTATTACCTGTACAATAAAACATGTCTAATCTGAACACCACTTGGACAGAGCAAACGTGTTTAAATTGCCCTTTTCAATATAAATGGAAAATTGATGGCATCATGGGTATTGGTAGGGCTATGGTAGGGCTAGACTAAATGTATTGCCAGAGTCACTTAATTTCTTGATTTAGAAGTGATTTCATTTTGATCAACTTTAAACACCATTGGAATGTGACTATTTATTCCATGATGGTGAAATTCCCTGCAATCTGATTGGTCCATGTGACTTAAATATATCCTGTATTTATACGCACTTTCCACTTAGCATTGAATACAGAGTGAAAATGACGTCAGCGTTGGGATACGGTCCAGTATCCCAACGCCCCAGATTTCCATCCAGGATATGACTATTACTGAAAAAATCAATGGCGATCTGTTTACACCAGCGCATGCTAATATTTGCATTTTGCTAGAAATATCTGATTTGAATATCAGGAAATGATACGGTGATCACCACAATTTATTATTTTAGGATAAAAAACACTCATCTGTAATTATAAAAAAATCAATATGAAGCATGCACATTGTTTTCATGAACTAGTAAAAATCCAATATGGCAGACGAAAGTCGAAAAAACGTTTCGTTACACTGTTCCAGCTGATGAAATTGAAGAAAAATGTTGAAGAAAATCAAACGTATCGTATAATACAATAAAAGCAAAACAACAAGGCCGAAAAGATTTTGAAGGAATATCGATGTAAAATGAGAGAAGGTTGATCTGTTTCTCCGGTCCCAAGACAAGGAAATGGACTTGATTTAGGGGAGTTTTATCTGAGTAATCATGGAATAAAAACATTATTCAATGATTTCTCGTGAAATACAGAAAATATTCTTCCCTTGAACGTCTGTATTTCACTCTGCTAGCGCATCCTGAAATACAACCTTCTCGGGAAGAATATTTTCTGTATTTCACTCGAATCATTGAATAACTTATAATATAGGCAGGTGTTCATATTTTGTGGTATTTATATGCAAGTCAATGGGAGATAACAAAATTAGGACAAAGAAAAAGTGTTCATATTGAGAGGTGTTCAGATAAATGAGGTGTTTGGATATATAGGTTTTACTTTACTGTATGCTTATTAAACACTCAATTACATTGGCCATGCACAGAACATGTCTATAAAGGGGATAACTGTGTTATACCAATTTAAGGAGATTGCACCAAAAGGAATTAAACCAATCAAAATAGTGATAATGCTTTTTTGGTACACAGCCTTTCAGTATAATGCACAAATGCTGTATTAAACAACTCTAGAAAACATTCTGAAAACAAAATATTGATTAATACACATGCCAAAAGTGGCAATTTTTATTATTTCTTTTATTGAACAATAATCATTCCTCGCATTAGATGAATCACAATCCTCAAGTGAAAGAAAGCAATATGATGTTGTGGGAATATATATCAAGACGATTGATGGAGCAGTACTCTTAAGGAGACACTTTATCTGCAACATTATTTTTTATTGAAAACAGTTTTTGTTTCCTCTTTTGCTGGTTATACAGATTCAGATCATGAGAAATACTGAAACTTATAGAACAGAACTACATGTACATGGTATGGAACTTGTATAAAACTGAAATGTGGAAAAAACTGAAATACTCCAATTAGGAAGCCATTATCATTACTGAACATTCAGAAGTACCTTAGATCATAATAAGGTATATAACTTCAATTCGAACATGACTGTATTCACGCCTTCTATAAACTGTGAACAAAGTCAATGTTTCACCCGGGGCATATTCGAGATCAATGCCCCGGCTCTGTACGAAGTGTATTGTTTGGTGCATAAACTCAAGCCCTGCTCTTCGGTCTATATTTCTTAATTCTAATATGAAATGTGACGTCACAATGACTAGAACAATTGATTTATTGGTCTATATTGAGGTTTATATGACCACTTTTTTAATAAGCTGTTTTTCATATTAGAATCATAACAAAGACCTTGATTCTATGATTTATGACAAATATATGACCTCAGATTTTATTCTGGCTATTGCCAAAGACCTCAATCGCTGTGCGATTTCGATCTTTTAACAATGAACAGAATAAAATTTTAGGTCGTTTATTGTGTCAGAAATCATAGAATCTCAGTCTTTATTCCTTAACAATTAATTGGACTTGAAAACACATTCCATTTATAACACAGTACTCATACAGTAAAACATATAGAAATAAAATACAATAAACAGAAAGGAACAAGTGCAGAAGCATTGTGTTACCATGCCTACATACATCATATTCTGTAGCATCACCATCAGTACTGCATTCGATTTTATTTGCATTTTCCGTGATCATTTCTTTTGTGTCACTTTTAGTCAATGACAAATGAATGTCTTTCAGCTTATTTTTTTCTGTAGACCTTTTATGACCTTTCCTCTGTTTCTTTACAACAAGTTTTGCATCATTCATATCTTCTCCCTCCTTAGTTGGACTCTTGTCATTTAGAGAAACACTGTCATTATCCACACTTGAGATACTATTGATCAGTTTAGACTCTCTTCTTGTAGGTTCATCTTGATTGATATCTTCAACATGTTCACAATGAGTATCATCTACTTCACTTGTGGCATCATCCTCACTTTCATTAACATCTTCTTCACTACTGTTTGTAAGTGCAGGAGAAATAGTTCCTTTCTTTTTGTTTCGAGACATATCTATCATAGATCAGAAATTATCCGTGGATTAAGAGATTACTGTTGTTGCAATTAATCATATCATATTAAGGATATTGACATATTCGTTAATCTGGAAATTAATATTCAAATCCCATCAAACTAAGCTGAATGATTATATGTATTTGTACACTATATTGTGATGAATAAGTGATACAGACTGATCTGCCTTTGTATTAGATATCAGTTAATGATGTAGTCAGTGTTTCGTTACCCCAGGCAAAACTTGATTGATCTCCAATAAATATCTATATTTTATACATCATATCTTTAAGGATCCCTTACAGTCGTAACTTCACAATAGGTCAACACACAAACCAGATAGTGAATAGTACACTACTGCACTTCTGTGGATATCTAAAGTGATTTACCCAGTCAGATCGGACTTACTGATCTATCCTAACATGCTAGCAGAGCTTACAAAGAGGTAAAACAATGAAAACCCTGAAATTTTGCACTTCATCAGTTAATTATTGTCAAATATTGATCTATCATGAAAGCACTGCAAACAAACAGATAGAATAAAAATCCTTTAAAGGGACTAGAAGAAGAGACATGATGAAAGTTATGAAAAAATTGTCGCATCATTCAATTTCATATCTATTTTCGCAAAATTCCATTTCCAGTTCTAATTCATTTTTGGATGATCCTTCAATTTTTGAAGGTATTCTGTCAAAAGATTTGAAAAGTGAATGTCACTCGTTTCAATTCTAATGAATTTGGACAATTCTGCATCAAAAATCTTCAATACAATACAATCAGACAACTCAATTCTTTTTCCACAACTCAGGTAAATTTTGGGGTATTTCAGAGAAAGACATATTCAAAAAGTGGACACATGGACCTAACATTTAAACCCTAAAGAGCGACGCAATATTTTTCCTGGTCTAAGGCCATGGGTAGAGCTATTGATGAGCCTTTAAAGCAATTGTGATGTCGTTCTCATGTTGCCATGACATCATCTATTATACTTTAATCTAAATCAATGGCACAAACAAACAATAAAGATCCTATGGGAAGCAAGCAATCAATTTATGGAGTTACACTGTCAACTCTGACCCATTGGATGTTTTTATCTTTAAGTCTGTTAATATGCTTAAAGGGGAATCAATGTTGTAGTATGAGATTATGTTACATCATTGATTGAAAAGTGTAGACAATATGATGAAGAGAACCTTCCAGATATAACTTAAACAACATGGTTATAATAGAAGTATGCAACACTCTATTGACATGCATACAAAGAAAAATATTCCTTTAAATGGGCAATAAGGCTCTAGAGAAAATAGGAAAATTTTAACTTTTTCTGAGTTATCAAGGCAACAGTTGGCTTAACATCTTCTTCGACATACCTATTTTCTTAAAATGTATGGATAAACAGCATTAAAAAGCAGCATTAAAAAGTGTAAATTCAGTTCAAAGCTTCAAAAAGGGGACGTCCACTTTTATATTTTTAAGATCCACCATGTTTCAAGAGGAATATAAGCTGAAATAATGATTATCTAAGGGGTTTCTTTGTAGAAAATAAAAATAGATGTTAGTCTTGATGAAATACCCAAACTTAAATATATTTTGACACTGGTTCATGATCGTTGAATGGCCCCTCTGCACTACTTGTTGCACCTTTAACTTGAAGAAGTACAGCAAGAAGCAGCTCTTCAATGTCATGGTTCAAAGAATTTCGACTTAGGTCTCAATGATTTGTGAGTGATCTAATATCTAAGCTTTTGTTTGCATCCCGTAATAAATCAACCCACGGAATAATAGGTATCAACAAGGCATTAACCACCTCACATTTGTTAGACACTGACTGCTGTTACAGACACTGTTACAGATACCGAACACCAACCAGTAACACCATCCACAAAAAGTTGGAGACTATAACAATATGTCACCACTTTTGGTGGTGACATTTGATAATTCATTCATTGGTGTTTCTATAAAAAGGGCTTGTGTTTTGTGGCAACTAAAAATATTGTTAAGTATGAATATATTTACTGTATTGTTTCTCCGTTGGTCTCTGTTTATATGTTGAATAGCTGATGTGAAATTCCAAGATCTGTTAAAGAGAATCTGAACCACAGAATAGCACAATCAAGACCCCTCTAGACGTTTGTGCACATTGAGTTTCACCATATATTCACCTATCTACTTACTAACGAAGAAGTCCCAAATCCCCCGCTTTCACAGTTTCAGTGTTTTTTGCAATTGTGCTGATTGATCTGATTATTTTCTTGGAAATTAATTCAATTTGAAATTTGAATATACTGGGAAAATCCAAATGCCCCTGTTATCTGATTGGTTGTTGAATTTGTTTATCATGAACCTTATTCGCTGCCTGGTTCAAGACGCGTGTGGGCACTTCTATGACTCAACGGGGATTCCCCTCGCTAGCTGAGGAATTGATTGTGTTTAATTTTGAGGGTTGGTTGTTCTGTTGATTATTTCAATATTTCGGCAATAATATACCCATAAGTTATCCTCAAGATATATCCATGGTATGTGAGATATTATATGAGCAATAATAGTAGGACATCATTAATTGTCTGGGCGAGAAACCCATGTTATACTGCATCTTAAAAATGATACTCATGTTTCATCAAACCCAATTTTATAGCATTAATATAACCTTGAATCTTTAATCAGTTAAAGAAACTAAATTTAAGGATTTAAGCCCTGGACTCAGTGCATTGTTTGTTGAATCATACCAAGGTGTTGTTTCCAAATCTTTACATGACCACGCAGCGGGAATGCAAAGTTTAGGAAACAACGCCTGAGTGAGTCTTGGGATTAAATTCTTTTCACACATTGCAAGATATTTTCTCCAAAATCATCTAAAAGGAACAAAATCACTAAAAGAACACATTTTCAATAATATTTTTTGCATTGATCAAGTTGGCAAGTCATCAAATCCAATGTAACAAGTCCATTCATCACCATGACAACTGTTTAACTGGTGACCTTGCATGTATTATTGATATTTCACACACAGTTCATTATGTGAATACTCTGTTCTGATTGGCTGGAATTTTACTGTAGTAACATGTCACATTTCACTGAACTTTTCGTATGATGAAAAAATTAAGAAGACTGACCTAAATAAATGGAATATTATGTTTATTTTGTTTATATTATGAAAGCATAAGAGTACTGAATCAGTACAACCGATACATGAAGTATGACGATTTTACCTTTACAGTATGTATTTCCTCCTGTAGCAAGCTGCTCTTTGAAGTACTTGAAAGTAGCTGTTCCTTCAACCGTGATATTTCTTTTTCTGCAATCTGCAGATCTTCTGTAGCACCCTGTAGTTTTGTCTCTAATGTGTTGGTTTGAGCTGGAGTAAATAACAGGGTAAATGTAACAGCATTTTCAAACTATACAAATGCAATTTCATTAATCATTTGTCAAGTTGTTTGATATATTAAGTAAGAGTAGACTTTCTGTGGTACTGAAGTGTGTAGTTCTTGTAGACTGAAACATAATAGGTTGGAAAAATAATTTGGACTTTGATAAGACAGAGTCAATTCTGGTTGGGGGCTTATAGGTTAGTCTTGGAAAGGTTAAGTTGTCTCCTTACAGATATTTGTGATGAGAAAAATAGTTAGGTTTTTTAAGGATAGTTGCACACTTTCACATAAAATGGCTGGGGCAATGTCAGTATTTATTCTGACTTTAAAAATATCCACATAAGAATGTAAAATTGTTCATCTCATTATTATGTAATTGTCATCATGAGAATTTAATGTGCTGATTATACAAATCTATGGATTTACAAGGTCAGCCAACAAACATTCCTACACCCATACAATTCTTACCTGCCAATAACTTTTGGCTTTCTTTATGCATTTCATCTTCAGTTTTAGCCAGCTGTTCTAAAGTTTCTGAGAGTTTTGAGGCTAATTCAGTATTATCAGCCTCAAGTTGGCCTGACACCTTTTCTAGCATTTCAATCCTATCTGCATATTCATCCAATTGTGTACTGTTTTCACTGAATTCTTTGGCTAGCACCCTATTTTCACCTATCACTTTTTCAAGTTCTTTTTCAGTGTCAGTTTTATCATTGCATAGTTCCTGTAATGAGTCATTTGCACTTTTTAATGCTTTTTCTAAGGAGTCCACAGACCCCTTAAGCTCTTTAATTTCATCTGTGTAAGTAGTTATTTGGTTTGTGTGGTCTTCGTTATGTTTTTTGGCAAGTCTTTCATTGGTAAGGGCCGCTGCTATAGTTTTACACTCAGACCTAACTTCCTCTAATTGCTGCAAAATATAATTGATACACAAATAGAGTAGGAACAAGGCATTAACATGAAAAACTGTCATCACCTGTCCTGTAAGTCGTTGTAAGTGGTTACAAAGGTTTTACAGTTTGTAACGAACAAAGAATGCCAGTGCTTACTACAAACCACCAGACTCCCACCACACAGACGGCAGCAATAACAAAAACGGGCCATATTTTTTTAGGGTGGCATGAAATCAAATTAATTGACTTTTAGCTGTATTTTGATACCAGAGTAACTTTAAGGGAAATAGTGAATAGACACCATATCAAACATCATTCAACTCATGCAATATTTGATCAATAGTGAAAAATACAAATGCAGTATGTTTAATTTTCATATACTTTTTATGATGATAAAAATATAAAGATGTTAAAATGAAGTCTAGTTATAAAAACAAACAAGTAAGTTTAATCATCTTAGACTATTTATTTACAGATGGTACATTACCTGTTTGTAATCTTCTTCCAGAGCCGACCATGTGCTTTTTGCATTATTATAATCATCAGCATTCTTTGACTGTATCACATCCAGCTGTTGAATCTTGTCCTTATATTCAGTCTCTAAACTGTTGAACTTTTGCTTCTCTATTCTAAAGTCTGATTCTATTGCATGGAGCTTTGATTCTAGAAGAGTCTTATTTGAGGTCTCTCTGTCTAGTGTCTCTCTTAGAGAGATGAGATCAACTTGGGAAGACTGGTGCTGAGATCGCAGTTCACTGAGCTCTTGCTTGTAATGGGATTCAAGGTCTTGCTCAAACTTGTTCTGCTTTTTCTGGAATTTTTTTTTTAAATCATTTATTTCATAAATTAAGTTTATGGTAAGTTTATGGTAAGTTATATATGTTATACCGCCTAGGTTGGATCATAAATATCGTTGGCAGTAGGTTATAAGTAGGTACATAATATCATATAAGATATGTAATTTAATGACCTTACACCATATCTTAAGAATCAGGAATATATGAGTGGACATTTAATAGTGAAAAGTACATACATGGATAAAGGGCTAAATTTAGGTGTTTAGATGTTTTTACTTTGATACCTAAATACATAATTGTTGGGAACAGTATTTCCTGTATTGATCTAAAAATCACAGAATATCTAACATATAATATTCATTGCTATAATCAATGTGCATGTATTCTCTTTGATCAATGTTGTATCATAAATTCATAAACTAAAATATCTTGAATAACCCAAGAAAAAATACAAAGACTGTCTATTAGCCAAATTGAATAAAACATTGAAAGCTCTTATATCGCCAAAGACCTGACATTTAGATGCAGATTAATCTTTTGATCTTAGGCCTCTATGAATCAAAATGTATCAAGCACAGTGACATCACTAGTTTTAAAACCACCTCTGGCTTGCTTCCATATTTCAAAACCCACATGAAGCCAGTATGAACATATCACATTTGTAAACCTCAAAAGGATACAAATGAACAACATGCGAAATGTCACAACCTACCATTTGTTACAAATGCTGAACACCAACTGCAAAACACCAACCACCAACTGTTTAACACCCTCCACGAAAGAGCCAATAACAATATGTCACTATATGTGGTGGTGACATAAAAACTGGAATGCAGTCCAAATTCTGTGAAGCGGGTTGATCAAAACTGTGAACTCACATTTTTACTGTTATATTCAATTTCCCTGGCTTTTAGTTCAGCTATATCCTTCTCTGCAAACTCCAGTTTCATCTCTAGGGAGCGTCTCCCCTCTAGATTCTCTTGATTCTTTGCCTTTAAAAGTTCATGTAATTTAAAATACATTTCTGAATATTTAAATCATATATTAAAAGGGAAAAAATACAGTTCCCACTGTAATTGCACAGTTTGTGTATACATAAATAGGAATGTCTTATTTTACACCAATTTTAATGATCACCATAGAAGTTAAATTAATGTTAACATTAATAATCATCATATCCTTCATTAATAGCTTCTGAAACCGTGGCTCAAATAGGTCATACATATCATAAGAAATACAAGTGAAATTGCAACTTACCTCCAATGAGTGGAGTTTTATTTTGAGGTCATCTGTCTCTCCATTGTGTTTAACAAATGAAGTATCAAATTGTTCTTGCAGACCTTTGTTGGTGTCCTTGAGCTTTTGGAAGTCAAATGTCAAAGTCCGAACCTAAATCAAAAAAAAATATGTAACACCTGTACAATACATTAGTTAAAAATACTGGCAAAAAGTTGTAGATTGTAAAATTCATATGATCCACTGATCCATAAATCTTGCCTCAGACTTTCTCCTGATTTACCTTGTATCCCTATTTGAATGATATATAAAGTAAATTCTTCAATCAAGCTCTTTAATTTTACAGAGAGAAATTTTATCTTGATTATTATTGTTGTGCTAGTTGATTTTGCAATTGAACAGAGGTGGGTGATATTTTAATAATATTATCTTACCGTATCACTTAAGCATTTTTTCTCCTGTTCAATGACCTTGAGCTTTCCCTTCAAGGTCATCACTTCAACATTCAATTTAGATTTCTCTGATTTCAGTTTCTCAATTGTATCAGATGAACTGGATAGATCTTGCTGCTGAGAATCTGTATAAAATTAGGAAAATAATGTAACGGTATTGTATTGAAACAAAAACACAAAACACATCAATTAAAACAGAAATCGATTTTAAAATTCTCCATTTTTAATGTCATATTCAGGTTTCTGGGGATGAAGGAAAACGTAGATAATATGACTACATGACATCAATAATTTAGCACTAGTTATTTTGACCTATTTTATATCTGAGCCATTGTTAACTATCCAATCTGTTGTAAATTGATAAACCGTACAGGGTATTTCATTAAATATAATAAAAATGAATCCTAGGCAATTCATATTAAGTATCTACAGTATGATATAAACAATAGAAATAGAGATGGTAGCTAGTTTCCACTGACTACATTTACGGAGATACTGGCATCTTAATGTAATTTTGTTTTACATAAAATCCTTGCCACGCTTCAATTGTGAAGTTACATTACATACCTTGCAGTTGTTGTTGTAGATCTGATATGACCACATCATATTCTGATTTCTGTCTATCTTGATCATTCTGTAACTCCTCTAGTGCTGTCTCTAGGTCCTTCACCTAATACGGTACAATATAAATTGGCATTTAAAAGTTATACACCTCGTACAATATTAGCAATTCTGTTCTTCATCTGGTACATATTAAATCAAGGTTTTTTAATATTCACAACTTTGATCAAAGCTTCTCTATACATCAAATCCACGATATATCACTATAATATAAGATATTAGTAATAGTATGAGTTTGAATACCATGTTCAGAGATCGGCTCAATTCTCGACTGAGCCTCTCATTATCTCCACTAATCACAGCAAGTTCTTGATTATGTGTAGCCTGCATTTGCTCTTTGACGAGACGTGTACTCTCCCTTTGTTGAGTGATTTCCTCTTCAAAGTCAACCCTCTCTTGCTGGAATCATTTAATCTGTTTTTAATGTTCTCCTTATTTCAAGATTTCAGGTATGTACAATCTAAAATAGCCTGTGAATGCTAAACTAAATACGACTCTCACACTCACCTCCAATAATAGCCCTTATTTGAAGTATATTTAGGTTTTTTATTTACGTGTTTCAAAACTTAATGGTTTTTCCTGGGTCTGCAACTATAGACAAGGCCATAATTACAGACACCATGTTACAGACACCGAATGCCAAACACTATCCACAAAAAAAGACTATAACAATATGTCAACAAAACAACTAACCTGTAACAACTTTTTAATCTCATTAGTGTCTAAACTGCTCTCATTGCTTGAATGTGTGTTTCTATTCTGCTCATTCTCCAGATCATCCATGAGTTTAGCCCTCTCTACCAAAAGGTACGCTATCTGTTCTGTCACTGTTGAGCTAGCTATCTGCTCCAACCCCTGTTGACTGAGCATCTCTTTGATATCATCATGTGTTCCACCTACAATATATAAGCAACTGAATTACATATCTCTCTGATATCATCATGTGACCCACCTACAATATATAAGCAACTAAATGACACATCTCTTTGATATCATCATGTGACCCACCTACAATATATAAGCAACTGAATAAATGTCTCTCTGATATCATCATGTGACCCACCTACAATATATAAGCAACTGAATGACATATCTCTTTGATTTCATCATGTGACCCACCTACAATATATAAGCAACTGAATAAATGTCTCTCTGATATCATCATGTGACCCACCTACAATATATAAGCAACTGAATGACATATCTCTCTGATATCATGTGACCCACCTACAATATATAAGCAACTGAATGACACATCTCTTTGATATCATCATGTGACCCACCTACAATATATAAGCAACTGAATGACATCACTCGGATATCATCATGTGACCCACCTACAATATATAAGTAACTGAATAAATGTCTCTCTGATATCATCATGTGACCCACCTATAATATATAAGCAACTGAATGACATATCTCTCTGATTTCATCATGTGACCCACCTACAATATATAAGCAACTGAATGACATATCTCTGATATCATCATGTGACCCACCTACAATATATAAGCAACTGAATAAATGTCTCTCTGATATAATCATGTGACCCACCTATAATATATAAGCAACTGAATGACATATCTCTCTGATTTCATCATGTGACCCACCTACAATATATAAGCAACTGAATAAATGTCTCTCTGATATCATCATGTGACCCACTTACAATATATAAGCAACTGAATGGCATATCTCTCTGATATCATCATGTGACCAACCTACAATATACAGTATAAGCAACTGAATAAATGTCTCTCTGATATCATCATGTGACCCACCTACAATATATAAGCAACTGAATGACATCTCTTTGATATCACCATGTGACCCACCTACAATATATAAGCAACTGAATGACATATCTCTCTGATATTATCATGTGACCCACCTACAATATATAAGCAACTGAATGACATATCTCTGATATCATCATGTGACCCACCTACAATATATAAGCAACTGAATGACATCACTCGGATATCATCATGTGACCCACCAACAATATATAAGCAACTGAATAAATGTCTCTCTGATATCATCATGTGACCCACCTATAATATATAAGCAACTGAATGACATATCTCTCTGATATCATCATGTGACCCACCTACAATATATTAGCAACTGAATGACATCTCTCGGATATCATCATTTGACCCACCTACAATATATAAGCAACTGAATAAATGTCTCTCTCAGATATCATCATGTGACCCACCTATAATATATAAGCAAATGAATGACATATCTCTCTGATATCATCATGTGACCCACCTTCAATATATAAGCAACTGAATAAATGTCTCTCTCAGATATCATCATGTGACCCACCTATAATATATAAGCAACTGAATGACATATCTCTCTGATATCATCATGTGACCCACCTACAATATATTAGCAACTGAATGACATCTCTCGGATATCATCATTTGACCCACCTACAATATATAAGCAACTGAATAAATGTCTCTCTCAGATATCATCATGTGACCAACAATATACATGATTGACGAAAAAACTGTCTTAACACCTCTGATACCATTATGTGACTCACCTACTATACATTGACAAATGACTGAGCATTCTCCACATTGATCCAGGGGGGAATAACCCCAGAGTTAAAAGTATTGAGATGACATATGTCTCTGATTGGTCAAAATTGACAGAATGGTGGCCTCAAAATTTTTGAAATACACTTCAAACAAAAAGATTCGAACAAACGAAGGTGGTATGCGAGTACATAAATATGTCTGTTATCTCTAAAGCTCTTGGGCTTTCTCTCCTTTTACACTGAACTACACTCAGTATTTGCATTCAATAACCTTTGTCTAGGGATACATTGAGACTTAATGTACTCACCTCCTGCAAGGTCTGCCTTAAGTAACTGGACCTCTGCCTTTAGTTGATCATTTTCCTCCTCAAACTCTGCTGTTAGTGTCTCCCTTTCTTCTGAGAGACTCCTGATATGTTCAACATAGTTTTCCACCTCTTTCATCTCATCAGCCTGCTTCAGTCTCAATATACCCATGTTGTCTAAGGCACCTTTAAGGTTGACCTAGAATTTAGAAATAGAGGATGCAATTAATGATGGAGTCAGGCTTCAGTCTAAATATAACCGTGTTATATATGTTAAAACCATGGTTATATATAGACTTTAAGGTTGGCCTAGAAATAAAATGGCACCATTTATCATGAAACCTTCAGATTTCAGTATCAATGGACTCATATTATCTGAAGCACATTTAAGGTTGGCCTACAGGTTGGTATAGATTATTTCATTTTAATAATTTTTTGATACAACCTACCTCTGACTCTAAGTAAAGAGACCACACATGCTGGAGCTTCTGTTCTATTGTGCCACTAGAAACCACTCCATGCTCTTTCAGCTTGCGATCAATGTCACGTAGGTCCCCCATGATCTGAAAAATACATTGTTTCAATGTAACGTCAACAAAAATGGTAACAGGTAAAATCACTTCAAAATTTTAGAGATTTATTGCCTAAAATAGCCAAATTTTTGCTTTATTCGTGCATTGTATCCTTGAGATAAGAGTCTTAGGGGTATTTAGGCAAATCCATTTTGGTAGGAGCACTCTGTTTGAGTTTGAAAACACACCATTTATTTATTACTGTCCGCACTGTACAGCTTCCGGATTAAGGTTCTCAGGATTGTTACATTGATGACAGATGTGGGATCTGCCCTTGTTAATCAGTTACAATGGGACGTCTTCTTTCAAGGGGGGACAGTGTAATGATAGAGCAGTAGCATCACTTCGTGCAGGTCCTGGGTTTGATTCCTGCATATGGGGAATTGAATTTAGCATTCTCCCTTTCATCTAATACATGCTTTTTCTTAACACTTTGAGAGTGGGACTCTGATGACGAATTCTGATCAGAAAGACATAAACACATAGACTACAGATCATGATGCATGGTCATTTGGTGGCACGAGAGATCATGATGGTGATGGTTTTGGGGATTTTTATTTTTGAAAAAATAAAACCTTCTTACCCTGATTTACTAGACAACCGACTTATTTCTGGATTAAAATCTCAGCCAGGCACTAAACACGCATATAATACAAACGCATGCATACTGGTAGTTAATTCGAACATGTCTTCCTATGTAGATTTCATCAAAATTAGGAGAGATCTTCTTGGTTAAAATTCAGTTGTTTACAACTTTACTCAGTCGGTGCTTCAGGTTCTGGCGCGTAGTCATATAATTCTACAAAATGTTAACTGATTGTGAATCTAGCTAATTCTGTACATAGTCACACCTCTATAAGATACAAAACAACACAATAATTTAATTTCTATACTTTACGATTGTGAAAATATGGAAGAAATGTATAAATCATTGTCAGTGTAGTAATTTTAGGGTCAGAAAGTAGTTTTGTATAGAGGGCGCTGTAAATTAACATGGCGAAAGTTGCAAGTCAAAATTTCGGACAAACAATGGGTGATTCGACAAGACCCGATTGGCTATCGGCTGAACATCTTACAGGGGTAAATAATTATATATTGTTCTTATAGAAAATAATGACATTCGGTTTCAATAAGCTATACATGCTCTATTATAGCCGAGTATATTTCAGCCAAGTCATTGACAAACATATTATCGCCCACTTTTTTTTAAAAAATTCATCTAATGGACTAGATTTTGAGCAACACAATTGGTTAACGTTCATGGTAGAATGGGTGACACAGTCATTCTAATACTACTGGGCCGAATTACCGTCAAATGTAATTGGTCAATTGTAGCAATTTGATTGGTATTGAATTTGCACCCCCATTTTGACATAACAAATCTACCCCTCAGAACACCATTGTGGGAAGTCCTGCTATAACTAATCATATTTACCAGGTTATGGAAGTGAAATTCCCCTTTCATATCTTTGTGGCTATTGCGCATGCATCACACAAATTGATTGGTCCAGTCGCAAAATAAAGCGATACACAGATCTAGATCTAGAAACTGAATTTTATGATGGTCTTATTTGTGCAGTATTATCTGCCAGAATAAAACGTTTGAGGTTTGAATTATTTCTTCCTATATCATTCAGGGTGTTATCTGGGGCTTGTATGACTGCCAAAACTGGTTACTGTAATCATGATAAAGATGCATATTATTATGAAATTACCCTCATGACCTCTTGATCAGTTCCTCAGAACTTAGTTGTCAAATTGTGAGGTCGAAAACTTATATGAATTGAAGATGAAAATCCAAACTATATCAGGAATTTCCTTACCTCTTATGGTCTCAGTAGTCATTAGTATGGATTTTAGAATTTTTTGAACTCTTCAGTCAGTTGTACTACTCCCATGTATCATTTACATGGCCAGGATCACAATGGTCATGGTCAAAATGACCATTATCATGCTGAAATAGCTAGTTAAAGTTAAACGTTATCATTTTGGAAAGGTCAGAATATTTTGAATTTTTCAGAAAATGTGCCCAACATATTACTTTAAATGATATGAGCTTTGAAAATTTGAATTCATTTCTAGAAATTAAGAATAAATGAAAAAAACTGATTTGAAAAGCTATCTCATATCCTTTTCATGACCACAATTTTTGTGTCAGACAATTTTTCTAATTTTCAAAGCTCCTATCATTTAAAGCAATACATTGGGCACATTCTCTGAAAAATTCAAAATATTCTTTTCAGTGACCTTCCGGAAATGCTAACTTTTAATTTTTTTCAGTCATAATTTCAGAGGGCTAAAAAAATTGGTTGGATTTGCGCATATTAACTGAAAACACATGTGCGGTTAACAATTATCAACACAACTTTAACTTAAGATCCTTATGCGAATATTTCTTCTTATATAAGCTTTGAGTAAATCTATGATGAAAAAAGGAACTATTTTACAAAATTTGGGTTATTTTTTCATCTGCCTACCACTGCATGGGAGTTTGAGTAGAATTGTTACATCAAATGTTAAAAAATAAGGGGAAATGCAATGAAATGGTATGAAGTGGTGGCCACAACCAAATTTTTGACTCGCAAACTAGTCTAGACCTGACTGGCATTTTTGATCTCTATTGTCAGAATTTCAAACAAAATGCTTTGACATTATTTTTTATTTCAGACATCTATCATGGCTGTGGAGTTTGCTGATGGTGTTATTATTGGAGCTGACTCCAGGACCACAACAGGGTAAAAAGTTATTTTTATTTTAAATACCATATGTTTTTTTTAAATAATCTTTTATTTATTTCAGTTCAACACATATTACAATTGTACAAGTTTGACAATTCTTAAGTCACCAGAAGGCATAATATAAGAATGCAGGGTAGTTAGTGTAACTTACATAACAACTAACTTAAGATGAACCTCACTTCATCTTGGGTGCAATGATTGGGGGAAAAACATGTATTTCCACACCCCACTGAATACACTTCATGAATGAAATGTTCAATGTCCATTTTTATTCTGTTTTAGGTCATATATTGCCAACCGTGTCACAGACAAGCTGACAAAGGTGACAGATACAATCTATTGCTGTAGGTCAGGGTCTGCTGCAGATACACAAGCCATTGCTGACATTGTTTCATATCATCTAAACTTTCACAAGTAAGGTTTATGTCTCAGTCATTTAGACTTGGTGCGAAATGTTTTTAGCTGTGTGTAAAGTAACTCAGATTCTCAACTGGAGATGACCCTGTGTTAATGTAAAGTATTTTTTGTCCTTCCTGGTGAAAATGATGAAAATACTTGAATTTCTCCGATGGAAGTTCATCCATTATGTTAGAAAGACATTACGTCTTTATAACCAGGTGGGGACTAGTGAGATCATGAAGTTTATTTTTATTTAATTGTAACACTTTCTCTCTTGTCACCTCAATTTCAGATTCAAAGAAACATTAGTTCTTGTTTTAAAGAATAACTTATCTCAAACTCAAACATTTTGAAATGTTGTAGAATGGAGCTTGGTGAAGAGCCCCTTGTAAAGACTGCAGCCACTACATTTAAAGAACTCTGCTACAGTTATAGAGACAGTCTCAGTGCAGGTATTATATGTGCTGGCTGGGATAAAAAGCTAGGAGGACAGGTGAGGAAAAGTTATCATATACTCTACTTTAAAAGTAGTATAGTGGAATCTCATTTTCTGTGAAGCGTAATTTTTAAAATGAAAAAAGTTAAAGAGGGATTTAGTATACCCTTCATCTTTGCATCCATCATGACATATTTCAGATTCATCAACATTGGGTTTAGCGATTCATATTTTTTTAGTCATTATTTGATCCTTCACAGTTTTGTTGTTTTCCAGTTGAGTTAAGTGCTGAAATGGAAAGTTAGGATTTATAAAATTCAATGAATAATGTGATTTTGAACATCAAAGTACTGAAGATATTATTGCATTTGATATAACCCATGAGTTTAATATGCATACAAATATTATATATAATCATTCTAGCCAGCATTTAATGGGAACTTGCAGACAAATTGAAATGCTTGGGTCAATTGATGATCTTAATGCAGTCATTGCACACTTGGAAGTTCTGAAATACTTCACACAGTGCAAAATTTACTTTGCATACCTTTTATCAGAATTCTAAAATACATTAATTATAGCTTGTCCCTATAAAATACATTATTTATAGCTTATCCTTCAAGAATAGTCTTATCTTTTTGAAGAGTATATCACAGATAGGCGATGAAGATTATGGTGTTCTGTCATGCATTTTAACTGTCCATCAACATTTTTTTGTAGGTCTATTCCATTCCTATTGGCGGTATGTTAGTGCGCCAACCATTCTCCATCGGAGGTTCAGGTAGTACATACGTCTATGGACATGTGGACGCAACATTCAAAGAGGGCATGACAAGAGACGAATGCATCAAATTTGTATCAAATAGTAAGTACAGCAATCCTATATTTAAGTTATGTCAGACTGTCAGTGTATGGATTCTGTTGACTGGAGTATGCTATACAACTTCTAAATGTTTTGCTCAAAGGTCCGGTACATCAGCATATTCTTTCACTTTCCTTCCCATGCTATTCTGGATCACTGCATTTAGAGGATGAACTTTGTATATTGTTCACTTCTTATTGTTGTTGTATTTTATGATATATGTGTTTATATTAATTATTATTACATATTACAATGAAAAGGACTGAATGTTCTATACCACTACAATATATGTAATATCTGAGAAACAATATCTTATAAAGCTATGTAAAAATTTAAATCTATTTTGGGTATTATGATATTCTTGCATCTTTTAGACTAAACCAATATTATATGGTCAACATAACACTGAGATTTTACGAAAATATGTTTTTACTGGAAATTGAAATGCATTTTTGAAGTATACATGAAGAATAACTTGTTTTGCATATGAGGAGTAGTAATGTGCATATTTGAAAACTGCTGTACATGCAAACATATTCATGATTTCATGTCAAATAGATGTCACCTATTTCCATTTTCTCTATGCAAATATAGTTAGTGCTCTTTAGTGCATTACTTGTTGTTTCTTGAAGTATGGAATTTTCTTATGAATATGATAATTACCACTCATTAAGGAAGACATTTGATTAATAATACAGTGTAAGCCCCTCGATAATTACAATTTTTCTCATAAATAAAATATATAGGGACAATGAACTTGGCATATGGTCCCAGACTGGGAGAATCTCCTCATAGATTGATATATTTAAATATCCTTCAAATATAAACTTTTGAGAAAATAATGTGTTAATTTCAGGTGGTAAAATTGATGCTATACTTTTCACAATTTTGAGAAATGTTATGAATCCAATTACATTTTATTTTCATTTTGAAAATTAAGTAATGAATATTTAATAGATTGACCCCTATCCCCTTTAATGCTAAATATATATATATATATATACTCAAATTGTTGTATTTCAGCATTGGCCTTGGCTATGTTCCGTGATGGGAGCAGTGGTGGCATCATACGATTAGCAATCATCACAAAAGATGGAGTAGAACGTCAAGTTATCCTAGGAAATGAACTACCAAAATTCTTTGAAGGATAATAAATAAATGAGATCTGGACTTAATAGACTATGATTGTTATGGTAGAGTTGTTCTGTTTCAGTGCTGATATATTTATGGCAATCAGCTGGTTAGTAAAAGATATCAATACCTGACCAACTGTAACACATCAAAGATACAACAAAACAGAAAATGTGTTTGTCTGTTTTTACAGAAGTAGCTCACATGTAAACATCATTAATAATATAGACATTGCCAATATGTGAACCGTTATTGCAAACTAGCCTCAGTTCATGTTGAGAAAGAGATACAGACACTTACTGCAACATTCTCTTATTGTAGTTTCCAGATAAAATGTCCAAGCTGAGTTACATCGCCTTTCCTTGTACATTAATCATATTTATGGAAATTCTTAGATAACGGCAGACACATTGTATTATAGAGATATTACTTGAATCAATAAAAAGATAACAATAAAATTGATGTGTTTAATTTCTACAGGATCAGATTTAGAGTTGGGAATATATAATTTCACAGATCTGATTATAAATGGACAATTGAATGAATGGAAATCCAGGGACTTAGTTAGATTAAACAGGAGGTTCACTCTCCATGTTTCTAATTTATCAAGCATAATATTAACTGAAAAATGTTCCCAATTCACCCCTAGTGCACTCTCGCGGAGTTCATCATCTGTTGTTTAACATTTATTTAAGCATGTATAATCTGTCGTTAATCAAGATGAAACGGTACTATTCTTTTGTGTTGAGGAATGAAATGTCATTTGGTAATTAGACGAATCTCTTATGACTGTATGACTGATACTCCAGGTATCACTCAACAATGAAGAATTGTAATTCACTTTGAGAGGTTGTGGTTACCGTTTGTTGACCTATCTGTCTGAATATGTTACTGTCAAATACAATTTCCTTCCAAGACATAGATTGTTATCTCTACTTCAGGGGTCCCCAGGCCATATATCATGAATGCACAATTGAATCTTCTAATATGTCATGCCCTTTGGAGAGTATGTTAGCACACACTTAGTTAACTTAGATGATCTGCTTAATCTAAGGCATTGGAAATAAAAATTACATAAACTGTTATGTACCAGAGAACTTGGCATTGGTTTTATTCAAATGGCTGGAATATTGACCAATTATCAGTTTCCTGAGTGTCATATATGATCAATTATCAGTTTGTAAGACTACAATACATGTCAAAATATAATTGGTTGCAATGGTCAATAACAATGTTTACTAAATACAAGTTCCTTATTCATATTTAATATCTACATAAATGTGTTAAATAACAGAACCTTTGACATTAACCATAGACATTATTAACAACAAAAAGTGAATTTCATGTTCTAGTTCATGTTCCATATCAACTTTAATTTCAAACAAAATTGGTGTTCATGGTTTAAAGAATAAAGTGTTCCAATAGCTTCCCTTATAAAAATTAATAAAGGACCCACGGTCCTGTGCTCACTAGTTTGGAACCTTCAGAGGAATGTATATCCTGACTTTCAAACAAATTTGATTTGGATTTGTAGTCTCGAACTTTGAGAAATTTAGATAGCACAGTTGTGTGACCTAGTTTGATGACCTTTGACCTAGAACATTTTGCATCCAGTATCCAGTATATCAGTATCATTTGTTTTAGAAAATGTACATGTTTGCGAAAAAATAGCTCAGAAGACAACAGAATCGTCGAGTTAATTCCTCACTTCAGTTACATTAACGGTTTGGGTTAAAAGTGCAGATCTTAACTGTTTTTAACCGTTTTTGTAACTTAAGTGAGGAATTAAATCGACGATCCTGTTGTCTTCTGAACTATTTGTTCGCAAATATGTACATTTTCTTAAACATATGACACTGATACACGTGGGAATTCTGCCTACAACATGTGAAATAAGAAAAAAAGAAAAATCGTAGCTTCGATGTCCCGACATTTTGTTACCGAAACGGTTCGTAATCGAGTGGATCACCAGTGATTTATACACGCAGGCTATGTATCAATTGCAAAATAAAAATATTGAATTCTTATTTGGTATTTGCGGTAGCAGATCTTACAGTCCCTACGGATAATTGCACTTGATGGACATAAAATAAAACATGTTGTTGTACCTTATCAGGCCACTGGATAAACCAAACTGCAAAGGAAGAGATTATTAGCTCTTTGAATGTGGTGGAATCTTAGGCCATCTAAAAGGTTAAACGATGATATTTATCATCAACCCATGCTGTAGCATTTTAAAGCCTTACAATGAATCAGAATTTTATTGTTGTTATGTTGGAAGGCTTGTTGTTGATATTGAGTTATGGCTGTTTTAACTTGTATCTTCAATAAGTTATAACTTGTATCTTCAATAAGTTATTACGTTTGAACAGTAGCAATATAATATATTTGTTTTTTTTCGTGCATGGATTTCATTCTGAATATCCATCCATTATATCATTTGTCATGTTTACATACACTGAATGTAATCAACCAGGAAAGCCTTGTTAGCCTTAAGCTGTTGTACTTGTTGTCCAAAGCAAGTTATGCTATGCTAAACGCCATTCTGATTTATCATAGTTATAACGATACAAGACAAGATAGTCACACATAGCTAGGCAAGGCGTGTCTGATTCCAGCCAATCCGAACATAGTATTTCATATAACTATAGTGCATTATATAACCAATCACCGCACCCAAGGTCATACATTGAATGGTTGTTAAGGTGACAACTAGACTACAGAATAGAGATTGATGCTTTGCCAACTTCAGAATTTCACACTTGGAAAAAGTTTCGTGTCTTTTAGTTGATTTCTTCCTATTTTCTATTATGATAGAAGGGTAAACGAAACCAAATTGAAGCAATTCCCTTTCAACTTATCAACATTATTATTTATCTATTATTCTATATCCTTAGTTAACATGGATACACTATGCCTGAAGAAACTGTTTTTTCACGATCTTCAACTTTTGGCATGAGTCACTGAGCTACATTTACTTATCAGTCCAAAAAGTAATTATAAATAAGTCGAGAAAATGAGATCATTTCGATTAACTAGAACTATTTATTAAGTATAATAAGAAAACAAAGCCCCAACACAGTAGCCCAAAAATAGTCTATTACAATCATGGCATACTGGAGTCTCAACTTATCAATTGTAAATATGAATCCTTGATTATGGTTAACGTCTCCTCCGCACAAAGTTGCAAGGGATATAGTCATGGTGAAGCCCTCCATTCGTCTGCCAGTCCGTGCCTGTATACAATAACTCATGATCAAATATTCCTGAACACCAGTAATATTGTTTTTATTATATTTTTAAATGAACGCCAGTATGATCAATGTATACGTCCCTCCAAAATTAATTCCGATGGACGTATTTACCTCGGAAAATAAGTCCGAGGATTTGTAGCAGGCATGGTAGTCCGTCAGGAAAATACGTCCGTAGTCCGATCATTTTTCATGTACGCGTATGTTATACTGTCAGGAATACGGACGATGATTCCACTGCCCTTGTTACACCAGTTCAAAATGGGGATTATATTTTGCTTACTCTCACTCTACCTAAATTTCTTTTATTTTGAAATCTCAAATCGAAGAAAAGATCACTAATATAATCCTTTTGATTCGGTTTAATCTTATTTAGATTGGTGCCCTTTGATGATCTTAAAAAACGATCCAAATGTGAAATTCTTATGAATTTGGGGATTTTTCCAAAAGTATATCTTCATTATTCAATCGAAAATATTTCTATCTAAAATATTGGAAATGAAAAATAGCCCTTTAATGGAAACATAGGTTTTCGTTCGGATTTGCTACACCTAGAGGCTAGCGTTTTTCTAATTGCATAATTCCTAAAAATTAACAATCAAAGATAAGAAGTATAGGCTTGAATAATACGCCAACCTTTCAGCATATAACATCTGAACACATCACCAAGGTGATCTCTAACTAACCGGATGTTCCTATGAAGCCAACAACTGATTTACCATCACTCATATCTTTTTGAACCCCTCATTTGGAATACGTATATCAACCCCATAAAGATGCAGAGTCAATTTAGTCCAAACATCAAACGTAAAAGCCCCGTAAAACCACAAGTATCGTAAACTCGTATTTTAAGTAAAGAGAATATCGATATATTCAAAGGGTACACAGGTTGATGTTTTATTTGGCGCGTCTTCCTTTCGAGGTCGATTCATGATATTCATCACTTTTGTAAATTAAAATGTCGGATATCTATTCATCTAGAAATATCAGCAAATTAATTACTTCTTTGGTCCGAGGAACTTCGGTGATCATCTCAAAAGTAAAAACATTTATCCAAGGTTGAAATGGGAATTGTAATAAGCACGAGCAAAGTGGGACAACGTTTACATCTGGGAGGTAAAGCTACACATTTTAAGATAACTTGTACGTGAACGGTTTTTATGAACCTGGTAAGGAATTACTGCCCCTCCATCTCGTAATTGTGTTTTCCAGGGGCCTTATTACAGCCAAAGTATTTTCCTTTAAACTTCCATTATACTCAATCGTGTAAGTAAATACCAAGGAGGAGAGAACATACCCCAAGAGAATTCTACACGTTCACATAATATTACACATTCACACACAGAGTTCTCCGAAAAACGTGTTGCTAAACCTCCCTAATGTGTTTGTCGAGAACACCCGTAGGACATGATGAAATTGTATGTCACTTTAATTTTCGTTGAAAACCGTGGCTGAAATCAATTTAAAAACAATAATGAGATTATTTCAGTGTTAATGACGAAGGAAGAATTCTTAAGAAATCGATGCAAATGATAATGGGTAAGAATAAATCCTGAACTAATGGTTCGATCAGTTTGGGTGACACACAGATTAGAACTGGCATAAACCAGGGCATTATCGCCCATAGGGAAATCACCCTCATGTTTTAGCTATCTCAAAAATAATCCCGCCATTTAGAAATAATCAAGACAAATGAAAAATAAATGACCTCAAATTGGAAACACCTATCGGCGCGCTGTTGTTTGGAATATGGAACTGCAGCTTGACATACTTTCACCGTCTACGAAAATTATTTCACTGAAATCAAGAGAACTAGTATTAACGGCAAAATAGCTGTAAATCTCATTCCAATCTTAAATTTACACAATTAATATATAGATTTGGACATAAAGTGGTTTTTCAGAAAATATCTCAGCTTAAAACAGATCCCAACACGGTAAGCAGTACGACGCGTTTCATTTTGAAAAAAACACTTGCATTGTTTTTCAATTTTAAAAGGCAATTATAAAATTCACTTTCAATTCTTTCAATTTAAAATGATTTGAGGAAATAATAATTTAGAATTATTATGTTGAATGTTTCAAACACAAGCAAGTTTTGTCCTTGTAACACGCGAGTCTCCAGTGGTCAATGTGCAACACATTACCATAGTTCTAGAACAAATCTAATACTCAGTTCTCAGAACTAATAACTTACGCACAAACACCTGTATCATCAAACTAAGACGAGCCACAAATTAGTTTAGTTTAAAAATGCATCGCTCGTATGAGGAGCCAGTTTCCCGAATGCATTATTTTATATTGAAGTCCATCCCATACGAGTGCAGTGGGATAACCCCAAAGCGTTCTTAATTCAATTGATAATTAGACCGACTGGACTTATATGCCACTTTAGTCCATGGTATGAAATTCCGAGGACGCCTATAAAGGAACTGGTAACACAATATACAGCGCATGATATAGCGCAGCAATATTTGACCTAATATTCACATACCTACACAATGCATGACATGTCCAGTTTTTTTTTATTATATAGCCGTTCAATATTCTTCTCGTGCTTTTGGGCTGAATTATGCGTGTACTTGGCAGGGGTCAAAAATATTAGTAAAAAACGAAATCCCTTTTTACATTTGGAGTACAGGCTGATACAGAAAATGATCTGCAATACATTTTGAGTGAATGTTTTAGGTTTCTCAACTATAAATTTGACGTTATTTTTTAGAGTGAAAAATGGGTCTTAACACGTTTTGAGATATGGGCTGTCATCGTCAGAATCAGCGAATTGCCTTTCCTTGACTGACTGTACGTGGCTACGGCAAAATTATTTTGCTTTAAAGTTATTAGATATTGCTCAGTTGTTTATAAAACAACCACCAAGAACTAGTCGAATTCATGAAGCTTTGACAAAAAATAAGTTTCACCAAAACTGTGATGATAACCAG